TGGAGTGCCAACCTTGCCTGGTCCCAGCAGGTCTACTGAATAAACCTACCCCTTACCTGAATACCACGTGCGTGCTGGTGCTGTTCTTACTCGGCTACCTCTTTTTTAAAAACCTAACATAAAGGATCATACAGGCCAGGCACTGGTGGTTCATGCCTATAATCCTTGCTACTCAGGAGGCTGAGATCTGAGGATTATGGTTCAATGCCACTCCTCCAGGAAAGTCCTTGGGACTCAACTCCAATTAATCACCAGAAAACTAGAAGTGGCACTCTGGCTCAAGTGGTCAAGAGCTCAGGGATAGCACCCAGGCCCAGAGTTCAAGCCCCAGGGACTGACAAAAAAAAAAAAAAAGGATCATACAGCAGTTCTATGGTTAGTTTTATTTTTGTTTTAGGAACCTCTGTACTTACTTCCATAGTGATTTCCCTAATTTACATTTCCATCGACATTGTATGAGGATAACATTTTCCCCACATCTCCATCAGCAGAACCATAATTTGTTATTTTATTCATATCTGCCTACATACAGGCATATTTGATCAGATAATAAACCATTAATGATTATATATTTAGCTAGATATAATAAGTAACTGATGATTTTGAAGACTTGTTAAAACGTGAAAATATGCACCACCCAGCTGAGTTTTAAAGTTAATTTTACATTTATCACTATTGTTGGCAATGCCGTGTGCTGGAGATTCTTAACTATCTTCTTCCTGAGGAACTAGTTACAAATGAACTTCAATAATCCAAAATATGTTTCAGAACAGTTTCAGCTTGGGCTTCCCTCTAGATCTGATAGACAAGCCACGCCTTATCTTCTCAAACAGGATAATCTGGGAAGAAAAGGAAAATGGACAATAGCAAAGGCAGGCTATACATCTGTCATTCAAACAGTTTGGAAGGGGATGCAAGAGAATAGAAAGGGACAGGACAGCCTGAACCTAAGGCAACCATGTCTCAAAAAGAAAGCAAAGAAGAAAAGTTGAGCCTAGTTAAGCCAGGATGAGGCAGACACTGTGATTTGTATCTGAGGATGAAAACCACTCTAAAAGTTGAGGCGACCTCAAGGCAGAGATGGGGTGACTCACTTCATTGTCTTCCGGGTGAAGCCAGACACCAGGAAGGTAAAGTGATTCCTGTGGTCCAATCTTCCAATAGCGCCCAAGGTTATGGCCATTGACAAATACGAACCCACAATTCCAGCCCTGCAAAAGATGGGGGCTTGAGACACAGAAACAGATTGACACTGGCAAGGGAAATCTAAGGTGCTTTATAGTTAAGGCAAGATGGAAGCGCCCCATGCCACTGTACATGGAAGTGGGCTGAGACTGGAAGAGGTCTAGAATTTCTACTCCGATGTCTAGGAAGGAGAAAGGGGAACAAAAAGGAGCCCTTTCTTCATTGCTGATGCTGCATCGCTCCTGACCTAAGATGTACAATGCTATATTTTCAAAAAGCAGTTTCTTTTTCCTTCCAAAAGAAAGTTCTAGGTAACAGAGAAGAACAGTACTGTTGACAGCAGCTATACAACATTTTTTAATCTGTTTATAATATGACAAATAGTTACAAGGTAAAGATCTGGGAGAGGAGAGCTAAGAGAGAGACACAAAGAGAGACACCAATAAAGAAAGTGAGCCATGGGCTGGGAAGGTGGCTCAGTGGTAGAGTGAGGCCCTGGGTTCGATTCCTCAGCACCACATAAGCAGAAAAAAAAGAAGCCGGAAGTGTTGCTATGGCTTAAGTGGTAGAGTGCTAGCCTTGAGCAGAAGAGCTGAGGGACAGCGCCCAGGCCCAGAGTTCAGGCCCCACGACCAGACCCCCCCCCCCGCAAAAAAAGAAAAGAAAGTGAGCCAGGTGTAATGATGCATGCATGTAACACAATTGCTGAGGATGCAAAGGAAGGAGAATTATGAATCTGAGGCTATCCTTGCATACATAGTTGTTGGGGAAGCCAAAACTAACTCCAGGAGTTTCCCCCCAACACACACACCCCTGAGAATCAAAACACTGATTTCTCACAAGCCCCCAGGGTCAGGAAATGTGCTGTTTGTTAAGACCCCAGGAAATGAGGAAAACCCTGCTGATTGTTGTGATAAGGCTGAGAGGCCTATAGTCTTGTTTGGTTATCAATAGCCCAAGACAGGATCTCAATAGCCCAGACAGGATCTGAGCTTTGTTTCGTTATCATTAGCCCAGATAAGATTTGCAGCCTTATTTGTTTAACAATAGTAGAATAGCCCAGCCACCCTAGCCCTTCCAAAAAGAAGCAGCCTCACCCCTGCCCCCTGGAGAAAGAATATCCGCCTGCTTTGTGTGAGAACCCCCAAATTCATGTGCCAATTAAAACCAGTATGAGAGGTTAGTTCGAACAGATACTATGAGATGGACTGTCACTCCATTGGCCACTGACATAAATATGCAGTCTTTCTGTGTGTGTTACAATCCCGTTGGCCACTTGTGTATGACAGGCTTGACCACATGGATTTTGCCTTTAAAAACCTTAGCTTGTGGGCTGTTCAGGGTTACAGTTTCAGCTTCCGAATCTGTGCTGCGTCCCTGGCCAGTCAGCTATCCACTTCTCCAATAAATTCATCTTTTACATGAGGCTGTCTCTGAGTGGTGGACTCTTTTCCCCATAACATAGTGAGTTCTGGACCCATTTGGGCTACATAGTAAGACTTTTATCTCAACAAAAGAAGGAGAGAAATAAAGACAATAGATGAAAAGAAAATGAGGGAGAAATGGAGGACAAGGGAGGAGAGAGGGAGAAACTGAGAAAGGGAAGGAGGGAGAGAGGGAGGAAAATGAACAGTCAAAGAGATATCCAGAAGTGTTTCCATTAATGGCATCTTGCTTATTTAGGTAGAGCGAGGAGGATGAGGTGGGGGGGAAGGGGAAAGGAGGAGAAGGTGGAGGAGAAGGGGGGGCAGCAGCAAGGACAACACCACCACTACCACCACCACCCGGAAGCCTTGTTTAATAATACACTGTTACACTGTCTTGGGTGGAACCCTGCAAGACTACACCATAGGAGAAGGGTGAAATACAAATTATTCTAGTCATGGGAATCCTTAATTCGTTAGCAACTTAAGTGAGACTGATGTCCTTAGGGGTAAACTCCTATAGGAATATACTTTCAATTGTCCTTTCTTTTGGTGTTAGGTAAAAACATTTTAAGACAAGAAACTGAAAATAGCCAGAAGTATTCTGGTATGCTATTTTAACCTTTCAAGAATGTGCTCCATGACTTGGACCTAAGCAAGCCCAGCAATGGGTCCACCATCTTTTGTTCCTCAACTGTGACTTTAAACCAACCATACTCAGTAATACACATCTTAAACTTAGCAGTTTGGAAATGTGCCCAAGTCTAATGTGTTTTCCTATATAAATCCCCAAAGCAATGAGCTTAAACTTGCTAAGACAAGCACTCATTATGTTCAATTACAACTTCTAAGCATTTCTTTTTCATTTATTGTTTAAATTTACTTTATTGTTATTATAGAGGTGATATATAGAAGTGTTGCCTTTACATGCATCAGGTAATAAATATATTTCCTTTCATACAGTGTCATCTATTCTCTCATTCTCTCCAATTCCCTCCTTCCCATCTCCACCCAAGAGTTGTATAGTTCACTTTCATCCATGTCCAGTGTGCTCTACTGCTGCACTTTTTCAACACTTCCTTTCAGATTCTATGCCTTCCCCTCACCCTCCCACAACTATGCACGTGAATGCACTGTACATAAGGTAAAAATTACAGAATCATCAGAAAAAGAAAAAACAAATTTAAAAAAGTCCTTTGTTTCCATGTCTTTGGTGTTTGTTTCAGTATATTATTTTATATAATACGAAGAGGCACTTAGGTTTTGCAACTTTGTGATTCTCTCCTCTTTTGAGCTCACTGTATGTGAGTATCTAGAATCCTGTGTAATTTGTCATATCCCAGTGCATTTTAGATCTAACTTCCCCATATCAGAGAGGACACGCGCCATTTGTCTCTCTTATCTTGGCTTACCTCAATAGCTCCATCTATTCTAGTCCCATCCATTCCCCTGAAAATGACATTATTTTAGTCTTTCTGATGGCTGTATAAAATTCCATTGTATATAGGTACCTCGTTCTTTTTTTTGATCTACTCATCTATTGTAGGGCATTTCCATATCTTAGCTATTGTGAATAGTGTACAGCAAGAATATAAATGTGCAGGTGTGCTTATTATATCCTGGTTCATGATGCTCAGGGTAGATGCCTAGGAGTGGTATGACTGGGTCGTAGGAAAGATTTATGCTTAGTTTTTTGAGGAGCTTCCAGACTGCTTTCCAGAGTGGTTGTACTAGTCTATATTCCCACTAGCAGTGCAGTAGGGTTCCTTTTTCCCCACATCCCCACCAGGATTTATTGTTGTTAGAATTCCAAAGGTTGGCCCATTTAACTGGGATAACATGGTATCTCAGGGTTGTTTTGATTTGCCTTTCCTTTATAGCCAGGGATGCTGAGCATTACCTTATGTGTTTCTTTGCCATTCTCGCCTCTTCTTCTGAGACGTCTCTTCTTAGTTCCCTTGCCCATTTAGTAATTGGTATATATTAAGTTTGGGAGGGGTTAGTTTCTAAGCTCCTTGTATATTTTAGATATTAGGCCTTTGTCTGATGTATTTAAGCATTTCAATTCTTGTAGTTGGAGGATTCTTGCTAGTGTCCCTGACACTTCCTGACTTGGGTGAAAATCTTCTCTGGAGCAAAGTGACATCATTCTAGCCTTGAAAATATTTATGATATTTTCTATATATGTGTCTGATGGTCAACAAGTAATCAAAGAGATGGAAGGGAGAGCAATATAACAGAATTTTAAAGAGAGAGAGAGCAAGAGACTATGCTAGTAGATAAGAAGATTTAGAAGATAAAAGCTTTAAAAGATCTATGCATCAGGATTGAGGGTCAAGGAAGGAAGGAAGAAAGAAAGAAAGAAAGAAAGAAAGAGAGAGAGAGAGAGAGAAAGAAAGAGAGAGAGAAAGAAAGAGAAAGAAAGAAAGAAAGAAAATATTTGAAATCAAACCATGGAACTAGTAAAACAAAACCAATCTAACTCCAAAACAATGAAAAGAAATAACAAAATGAAATCGAAACAAAATGAGAAATAGAGACAAAAACGAAATAGACTAAAAATATATAATACAAAATGAACTAGGCCCTGAGAGGAGACTGGAGCTGGGACAGCTTCTTTACAGGTTTTGTTTTTGTTTTAGGTATTAAAAAAACAAAAACATGGGTTCCAACCAGCCCAGTTCTTGAAATGAAAAGAATGCTTCTAGGTCCCCCTCCCCTTAACTTAACCCACCTTCATTGTTTTGTTAGACTGACGGATTAAACAGGTAGCCAGTAATCCGGCTCATGCTGGCATGCTGACTGGCATGCTGGCAACATCCCCAGTTTACTATTAACTCCGCCTTTTTCACATGTTTATGTTAAACTCCTTTGTGTATGTTTACCTTAAGCTCCGCTTTACCATTGAATTCTCGAGTCATTTAAACCAAAAGTGATAGGCTGGTTTAAACAGCCATTATGTGACAAAATGTAACCTCACTGGCCACCTGCGTGTGGTCTGGTATGACCGTGCAATCTTTTGGGGTGTGAAAATCTCATTGGTCGCCTATGTGACCAGGCTTCACCTTGTGATTTTTGCCAATAAAACCCTAAGCACGTGGGTCACTCGGGGTCGCAGTATCAGCTCCCGAGCCTGTGCTGTGGCCCTGGCTGGTCAGTGTAGGAACCTTCTCAATAAAGTTGCTTCTTTAATATCAACTTTGTTGCGGTGGGCTCTGTCACTCCGGACGACTAGGTGGGCCTGCCTGCCTGAGTAGGGGTCTTTCTACTACACAAAATGATTAATGGAAGTAAGATTGGCTTTTTGAAAATAACAATAAAATTTAGAAACTTACCAGATTAACTACACATGTACTAAAGGAATCTGATATCACAGTGAATAAATTAATGCAAAGTGGATAACTGCTCAATCTCATAAATGATGTTGAGATTATAGGGCTGAAAGAATAATTTTGGGGTACAGCACATGCTTAGCTTGCGTGAGGTTTGGGTTAGATTCAATTTTGAAAATTATACATGCCATATCATTCTATTTACATGAAGCCAACAGAGTTTTCTCTAGAGTGTTAAATTTTAATATAGAGCCAAGTGCCGATGGCTTATGCCTGTAATCCTAACTACTCAGGAGAATGAGATCTAAGGATCGTGCTTCAAAACCAGCCCCAGCAGGAAAGCTTAAAATTTAGTTTAGAGCTACTTTCAATAAGAAGCCATTACTAATTGCAAGTGATTGTATGTTTACCCAATGACAGAAAAAGTGTTCAACTTTTAATAACTTGTTGATCTGTACATCCATTTTTGAAGCATTTGCATAAATGTGTATGTTCATGAGAAAAGAAGATATGCCAGGTATTTTTTTTTCTTTTTGGTGCCAGTTGTGGAGCTTAAACTCAAGGCCTAGATGCTGTCCCTGAACTTTTTTTGCCCAAGACTCATGTTCTATCTCTTAAATAGTAGCTCTACTTCCAGCTTTTGGGTGGTTGGAGATAAAAGTCACTTGGTCTTTCCTTCCTGAGCTGGCTTCAAAGGGCAGTTCTCAGATCTCAGCCTCCTGTTAACTAGGATTACAGGTATGAGCCACCAGTGCTTAGCACCAGTAAAATTTAGTCTTCCCTCTCCACAAACAAAAGCAATTTACAGAATTTAATTTATGGTATGATCTGAGTAATATAAAAATCTATGTGCAAAAACAAACTTTTAGCAATGTCAAGCTCCGAAATATACAGATAAATTGAAATAGGTAGTTTCAAGAGAGAAGGTCTAGCATCTGCTTTCTACGTCTTATTGTTTGAATTATTTAGCTGTTTTTCATGTATTTTCTAAAGAATGACAAATTAAATTGACTGAAAAATGGTTGCCGACGTGGTTGGAAGTGAGGGAGAGGACGAAAGAAAGAAAAGCAAGTGTTCTATTAAGGCTTTACTTAGAAGCTGTTTTTAAAAAGATGAATAAACAATATTTAATTATTTTAAAAAATAAAAATAACATGCATAGAGATCACAGCAGAAGAAGAGGCTCACTTACTGGCAAGCTAAGGAAGGTATCCACAGGAGAGGAGCCAGCCTTCAATATCCCTTTATAGAAAGCAGGGCCTAAATAGCTCTCTGGACCCGGCTTCCAGGTAGCAAAGCGGAGCCTGGGGAGAGGGTAAGACATGAGGGAGAAGACAATACTTCCCAGATCTCCTCCCCATACTGATCCCAGATTTCCCTCACAGAGACTACGGTTCTCTTTCAAATAGATGCATGAAACTGGAAGTATTAATGTCACTTTAGTAAGAGCCTAGTCCTCAGTGCAGCTGACAACACAAAAAGCAGACCTCCACAGTTGTCTGAATTCAGCCCTTGTCTCATGCACACTAAACAATTGGAAATCTCTGAGTTCCCTGATGCAGTCTGAGTTTGTCCTCTACAAAGTTTCATGTACTGAGAAAGAGATGTTAAGACATTAAAGAGGTGGAAGTCATTGGGAGATGGTAGGTCATGGCTCACCTCTCTCAGAAGTGATTAATGCTGCTCTGAGAGAGGATTAGTACTTTACAGAGTGTGTTTTACAGAGACCACTCCACATGCTTGGATGTCCTACATATACCCATGTCATATGATGGCCTGTGTCATGTCCTTGGAAATCCAGAACTGTGAAATACATAAACCTTTTCATTCTCATGTTATAATAACATTCCATCATGTTATAATAAGAGCAGAAAACAAACCAAGATACCTGATTACACAAAATGTCTACCAGGGGTAGGGAGGAGCATACCTTTCAAAGAAGCTCTTTTTCATTTCTAGAGGATAGATGGTGAAATTTTTCAGGGAGATGCCATTGATGCTAACAGATCCAACTAATCCTGTAGACATAGAAACAAAGAACATCCAGAAAAATCCTCATGGCAAGGGACCAGCCAGAAGGCAAACATTTTTTCTGACCTGTGATGACTTGAAATTTCTTTTTGTGTGTTTTCACACTACAAAATGTTCCCCACTTAGCATAGGAACTTTTCCAGAAATTCCCAAAAGAAGCCTGAGCCCTGCTCTAGGATAGGGTAGCATTCAACAATAACTGGTTTCCTGACCTTCTCTGAAGAACAAGAAAATAACAAGAGGGGTAAGGAGGATGGCATCTTTGATCCCAGGACTAAAATAAGGTTCATGGTTGTCCTCCAAAGTCCAATATGGCTGCAACCATAGGTTCGAACAAAAAATTACTATTTGCTCCTCAGGATCTTACCACTCACCTTTCTTCTCTTCTTGAATTCTCCATGAATAACTGATTCGTCCTTGATTCTCCACTAAGATCCTCAGAAGTTGACAACCCTGATGGGGCAGATCAATTCATGGAGATTATATGATCAGTGAGGACTCTTGTTCTAGAAACCATTCCTTCCTTCAAGTCTCAAGATGAACACAAACAAATGAAGTAAATGAGGCTCCAGAGCCCAGCAGTGTTCTCCCTCTGGTGTTGTCCCCAGAATGTTCCTATTATATTTCATCTTTCACCTGTCTTTTCTCTTCTGATCCTATTAGAGAAGTCAGAGACTCAGTACTATCTCAGATCAGAGTCTCACAAAGAGACTACAGATTGACATATGTCTAAAGGAGAAATTCTATGTTTACTTCTTGGTGATTGATGATCTAGGTCCTAAGGCACCAAGACTTAGGAGATGCTTCATGATTACAACCATAAACACTTGCTACTGCAGCCCTGTGGGAAGAGAAATACCAGTGTACCAAGGATGTGGCCTAGCTCAAGACCTGGCTAGGCCTATGTTTTCTTTGAGGGAAGGTTAGAGGCACCACTTGGAGTCTGTGATTACATACCTTGAACTTAGGAATACGCATTTTCTGAACTTTATCACTCAGAAATCCTATAATTATGTTATTCACAAACACCTACAAAAGAAGAACGAGCATCAAACACATACGCCAGGCTGAACAAAAGGATAAGAGAGTATAGATGAGGCATAAAGAAGTCATTATAAAGCAGAGACTAGCCTTAGTGATAAGAGGTGTCTAGAAGTTAAAAAGCAGGTTTAAGTTGTGTTACAGTGAAAAAAGTAAGGTGATTTGATTTGACTTTAGAATTCCCTGAGCATCTCCCATATTGGTGCATTAAATCCTATCACATGGTAAAGTGGATTTGTGAGTGACTTTCTCTTCAACAGCAGAGTTTGGTAAACATGTCTAACCCTAGGAATACCAGCTAACACATACCTGTGCCACATCATGAGCTTCAGCATAAAGAATGCCTCCAGAACATATGGAAGTCTCATAAAGGATAAAGCCAAAGGATTGACCGCTGCCATTGTTTATTGGAAGATTCTCCATGTTGATTGGAATAACTGACTTGACTGCCTAGGAGAAAGACATGGCAGAAACAGAAGCCAAAGTATTGAGAATTCAAGATCCTTCTTCCTGTGACCCTTGTCACTTGGTTTTTAGACCTTCTGGTGGTCTCCAAGTATTTCTTGAATGGAAATAAAGAACAACTGCTAGTGACAATGATCTTATGGCTAATGTCTCCATTGGCCAGGAAACTCCCGAGGACAAAGACATGCCAAAGACAGCCCAATCTATATATAATGCTAAAATCATAAGAATGGGCTCAACAGACTACATAAAATGTATTGCAAAATATCAAGTTGATATTTAGCATTCATTTAGCATCTAACATGGGACAATCACTCCTTTTCATGTAAGATAGCAATAGCAAACATGAAACCAACATAAAGTCAAGAGGGTTTTGTTGTTGGTGGTGGTGTTTTTGGTGGTACCAGGGTTTAAAGTCAGGACCTTGTGATTACTAGGTTGGTGCTCTACCACTAGAGCCATGCATGTAGCTCAACGTTTTTGCTAGATATTTTAGAAATGGACTCTTGCAGACATTTATGCCCTGGCTGACTTCAAATTACAATCCTCTAGATCTAAACCTCCTAAATAACTAGGATGAGAAGCATGCCCATTGGTGCCCAGCTTAAGAGCTGATTTTAAACAGGTTTCAATGTTTCTTCAAAACCAGACCCATTCTCTCATTTTAAGAGTGTGCAGTGACATAAAACCCAATAACTGCCAGGCGCTGGTGGCTCACGCCTGTAATCCTAGCTACTCAAGAGGCCGAGATCTGAGGATCTCGGTTCAAAGCCAGCCCGGGCAGATAAACCACCAGAAAACCGGAAGTGGCGCTGTAGCTCAAGTGGTAGAGCGCTCGCCTTGAGGTGAAGAGCTGAGGGACAGCACCCAGGCCCAGAGTTCAAGCCCCACGACCGACCAAAAAAAAAATAATAATAAAATAAAACCCAATAACCTGGTTTGGGTGATTGGTAAGGAAGACCAAAGTTCAGTTTAATAGATTGCTAGCTCAGAGCTTGTCCCTCATGGGTCCCATATACCTCATGCAGTCCCACAAGTCAATTCATCTGAGCTGGAAATAAGATACTATGTTATACTGCTATCCCCATTGTTCCACACTTACTTATTCTTCAAGTTCAACCCTCATCACAGACTGTCCAAAAAGCACAGTTGGTTTATGACTCACAGCTCTAAGTTTGGACACAATGCCAAGGATTGTCATACTTCTCTACAAAAGTTACCTGAAGGAATCGCCTCTCCTCTCCCCCCCCCACCTCCAGAACCACCACTATACTAGGGCTCAAGCAGATCTCACCTCATCTAGGTACTGTAGGGCATCCCATAGTGGCAAGTAGAGTGATGGTCTCACAGCAGGATATACAGTCTTGGGAGTAAGATGAGGTGAGCTGGGAAGGGGTTTTGCTGCAATGAGAATGGACTGTAGGACAGGAAGTACCTGAAATTGCCATAGCTTCCTCTAAGCCTCCCCCACTTGTCCATAACCTCTTGTGTCCCAGAGCCAACACGAGAGAAGTCCTATTCTTAGATATGAATATGCTTTAGGTCATTTTACTCCATACATACCTGGTAGACAGGAGCCAGAGAAAGAGGGGATTTGCAGGGGGAAGAAACTCTGCTTCACATCTTTTGCACTGCTTTTGCTTACTTTGGGAACCCTTCCTAGATGGTTCCCTGATGTCACTCAATAACTACCTTTCCCATGTAATTAAACAGTATGAGTGTTACTTTGTATGTTGTTTTCTACATTACTATGTCATAAATGGCACTAAGAAAATTTTGTAATTTGGAACCTGTTTGGTCTTCACCATCCACAAATAGGTTAATAATTAATTCTGCTCATTATTATTAATACCAATACAATAATAACGAGCTTTATGCTTCAGTGCAAAAGCTAAGGTATAACAGGGCTTACAAATAGTAATACAGAAGCCCACCCCCTCCCAGCTTTTAAACAAACACTCAGGATTTGAACTAAAGGTTGCCCTTGCTCCCAAAAGCTATCTCCTATGGGAGAGACTTTTCCTTCCCTCACCCTTTCACAAGATATGAGGGCAGCCAGCCTTCCACTAACCAGGTGAAGTACCTGAAACAGATCCAAAAAGGTGTCGAAGCTTGAAATATTTTTCTGTGTAATCCCCAGCCTCTGTCAACACAGCATCATAGTCTGCAGGACGCACAGGACTGTGAGAGGCCAGGCAGCCACAGCATGGGCCAGTGCCACCGAAAATGAGACAAGGAAGACACACCCTCACACAAGCAGAGTATTCCCTCATTGGCTGGAGTGTGGCCTGAAATGCCAATCTGAAAACATTCACCACACTGGTTCTTCAGACAGCAGGCTCACCTGGTGAGCCTATCAATTTCTTTCTTCTTCTTTTTTTTTTTTTTTGTCAGTCATGGGGCTTGAACTCAGGGCCTGAGCACTGTCCCTGAGGTTTTTTGTTCAAGGCTCGCATTCTACCACTTGGAGCCAAAGCGCCACTTCCAGTTTTCTGGTGTTTAATTGGAGATAAGAGTCTCACGGACTTTCCTGTCTGGGCAATCCTCAGACCCTCAGATCTCAGCCTTCTGAGTAGCTAGGATTACAAGCCTGAGCCATTGGTGTCCAACTAGACTGTCAATTCTGATTGATAATCTTGCCTTTCCTCATTGGGGTAACCCAGACAGATAGTTGTGTCCTGTCACCTACAGGCTCTGTCACAGCGTCAGAGAACACAACAATGAACTAATTAGGACTCTAAGCCAGGTGACCCATCCTTTGAAATGATACCCTGCTGCAACATTGTGAACATCACAGAAGAAAGGAAAGCAAACATGAAAATTCTCAGGGCTCAGCACAGATTATAAATCAGGATCTCAAGTTCCAAGATTGTAATTCCAGAGTCTCTTCCTAAGTCTATGCTGGGGAGACAACCATACCCACCAACACTTACCATAGCTAGTCACCACCCCTACGTGCTTCTGAATATAGGAAGCACCATTCATAAAACCAAAGTTGGTTCCACCATGGAACATGTAGGCATTGAAAGAGAGCTCATATTTGATAAATGCTGACACAGTATGTTCAACTTCTGTAGAGAAGGAAAATGAGAACACAGAGAAAATAAGGGACACAGAGGTCTTGAGTAAAATCTATTATTCCCAACCCCATACTACAGTCCATGGTTTTGACATTCAAGCTTCACTGAGAAATTAACGAGGAAGTTGATGAATCAGCCAAAACTGCTAAACTAGGAGACTGAGTCCTGCCAATACCAGGAGCCTGTTTTTGAGAGGGTGTTTTGTGTGTGTGTGTGTGTGTGTGTGTGTGTGTGTGTGTGTGTGTTTGAGGGGTGTAGCTTTGTCTTGTGATGGTATTGAGGCTTGAACTCTGGAGTTCTTATTTTTGCTTTGCTTTTTCATTTAAAAGCCACCTGAGCCACACCTCCACTCCCAGCTTTTTGCTGATTAATTGGAAATAAAGTCTCAGAGACTTTCTTGCTCTGATCTCAGATTCAGGAGTAGCTAAGATTTTCAGGCATGAGTCACAGATACCCAAATTTGGGAGGTTTTGTACCAGAGAATTAGTGTAATTTAACTCAACTACATGAACTAAATAATAGCACTAAAACTCTAAAACATATAAAATTTGATTTTCAGTTTAAAAGAATTTACAAATAATTTACACTCATTTCTACCTTCCAGGAAAATGTCTGGGGAAACTGAATTAAAAGCAAAGCAATAGTGCATTAATAGCTGTTCGCAATCTTTAGCCACCTTAGCCACTTTGATTTTCCTTCATGTTTAATAAGGATGGTCATACTATTGCTATCGATGAGAAATGGGAAGGTCAAATTTCAGCTCACTGTGGGCTACAATCCTGACTGTGCTCTTTACTTATGGTCTTACACAAATCTTCTGCCTCCTGATCTTCTAAATGAAACTATCCAACCCTACTACATTATGAAAGTGATGAGAAAACTATTAATGAGCTTATAGATGAAAGAAATGTGACCTTTTTTAATACAGCCAAAGTGAATTAAAAAAAAAAAACCAGCCAAATGATCAAAGTGTCCCATGGGTGATCAAAAGCAGTCATTTGTTGGTATTGGTGGTTTTTTCTCTTTTTTTTTAGCCTAAAGTTGGCTTTGCTTAGGGACAAAATTCTTTTAATATATCTCACTATTTCCATAAAAGCCTGCTTTTGTAACAGCCTATATCAAAATACTGTAAGCTGGATGCTAGTGGCTCAGACCTGTAATCCTAGCTACTCAGGAGGCTGAGCTATGAAGATTATGGTTCAAAGCCAGCCCAGGCAGGAAACGTCCGAGAGACTCTTATGCCCAATTAACCACCAGGAAACTGAAAGTGGCATGGTAGCACTAGCCTTGAACAAAAGAGCTCAGGGACAGTGCTGTGCACAGGCCCCAAGTTCAAGCTTCACAACCGACAAGGAAAAAAAAAAAAAAACTATTGTAGCAGCATCCTTTTACAAGCACATGGTAACTGCTATTCAAGTAGCAGCATTTGACCCTTAAAACAACTCTGGGCTAGGAACCAGTGGCTCTGTAACCCTAGCTACTCAGCAGGCAGAGAGCTAAGATGGCAGATCAATGCCAGCCCAGGCAGAAAAGCCTATGAGACTCTTATCTCTAATTAAACACCAAAACCTGGAGTAGAACTATAGCTCAAATGGTAGAGTGGCATGTCTTGAGTTAAAAACAGCCAAGGATTTGAACACTGGTGGCTGACACTTGTGATCCTACCTACTCAGGAGGCTGAAATCTGAGGATCACAGTTCAAAGCCAGCCTGGGCAGGAAAGTCTGTAAGACTCTTATGTCCAATTAATCACACACACAAAAAGATGGAAGTGGTGCTGTGGCTCAAATGGTAGAGTGCTAGTCTTGAGCAAAAGTCATTCAGGGACAATGCCTAGGCCGAGTTCAAACCCTAGGACCTGGCCAAAAAAAATTTCTAAAGGACAACACCAAGGCCTTGAGTTCAAGCTCCAGTACCAGCACAAAAAACTAAACTAAAAGAGCAAACAAACAAAAATCAGTGGGAGATAAGCTTCATGGTTTCATGGCAATCCTCACCTCTGGATGAGGACAGATACTTACAAGTGGAGTAAACTCATCTCAGGCCTTATGGCTAGTGCTGCAGAGCTGGTGTGAAGTCCCAGCAATCCTCTCTCTACCTTTAGATTCTAGCTCTCCACCACAACAACATTGGTCTGGTTGCAATTGATGTCATGAAAAGGGCCTGTGCATTTTCTGGCAATGATAAAGACTCCTGAATGCTCTATATTCTTGGGCATTTCAGGGCTGTCAGCCTCCTAGAGAACCTCCCGTGAGTACCTTCCTTCATCTGAGCAAGTTGGTGCCTTGTCTTCGTCCTACCACTGCGCCTGGGTATTGGCCTCATAAAGCCTACCAAATGAGGGACTACAGAGAGCTTGCTTTGCTTTCTAGTGAACTGCTGACTCCACTTAATTATAAACTCCTTATGGGCTAAGAACCATGTAATTTTTGGGGGGGGGGCAGTCATAAGGCTTGAACTCTGGGCCTGGGCTCTGTCACTGAGCTCTCCAGCTCAAGGCAAGCACTCTACCACTTGAGCCACAGTGCCACTTCGGATTTTTCTGATGGTTTATTGAAGATAAGAGTTTCACAGACTTTCCTGCCCAGGCTGGCTTTGAACCTCTATCCTCAGATCTCAGCCTCCCGAGTAGCTAGGATTACAGGTGTGAGTCACCAACACCCGGTCGGTACATTTTTTGATTGGTATATACTGTATTGACTAATTTTTTTCACACCGTTACCTTTTTTATTCTTTCTGTTTTCTTAAAGTAGCTGTACAAAGGGGTTTCAATTCAACATGTCAATTTATTTTTGAGAACAGAGCACCTCGATCAATGTCGCCCTTTCCATCATCCTCCCTCCATCTCTTCCAACCTCGCCTCAAGTTACCTGGTTCCATTTTCACACATGTACATTGAATATCTAGGACTGTTTTCATCCACCCTTCTCTCTCCTCTTTTTATCTCCCTCTAATTAACCTCCTTCCACCCCAGCAACACATGTCCCAGCTTCTTGGTAGTCATTTTGTTGAACTCTAAGTGAGTTAGAACTATGTGATTTTTATTTATTGGGATTGGGTCATCTTCAGAGTCTGCCTAGTGCTTACACCTACACAATTCAAACACATACTAGTGGATTCATGAACATGTTAATTAGCAAGCAATTATATGATGATCCATGTCTCAGGCCTATCTAAACTTGGAGTAAAAAACTGCCATGCCCTTACCTTTCACATGTGTCACAGAGTGTCTATATCCCCATCTGTCAAACCAGCCAATCCAATATTCCATAATCAGGATGGGCTTATTCGACTAAAAGAAATATAAAGCAAATACTAAATATGACCCCCAAAAGTCAGAAAACCGAGATACAACACACAAGAAGCGTTCAGAATGTCATGCTTCCTCCTTTTCCCAACCCAGGGCCTTCATTCCTGATGGAGATGGCTTCCCATCCTCCCTGCATTCTGCTATCACCATTATGTGTAGATTTGAACCATCTACTCCTCGTCCTCCAGGGCCTCCTGACTCCTTCCAGCCTCAGTGCCTCACTACTGGTCCTGGATAGTAGCATCAGTGATTTTTACCTTTTCTTGCCCACGGCTGGCATTGAGAGAATCTGTTTGGGATAGCCAAGGACCTACCTGTGTTTTTTTACATAGAACTTGGGCTCAGAGACCATTCAGCTGGTAGGGACATGGTTATAACTCTAATCCAGGATTGAGCCTCCCTACTGGCATTGTTACACTGGGTGTTCACTGCACTATTCGTTTTCTTTATGTCTGTATTGCACTTTGTTCCTACTTATCTGTGTGGAAGTATCCATTGTAATTGTTCCTACTCATGTCTTTACTTCTAGTATCTTGTGTTTCTCACAATTTTTATTATATATATTTTTGCTAATAATTTAGTATATAAGAATTCAGAAAGGGATTGTACCATTTATTTATTTATTTATTTTTGTCAGTCATGGGGCTTGAACTCTGGGCCTGAGCGTTGTCCCTCAGCTCTTCAGCTCAAGGCAAGCACTCTACCACTTTGAGTTACAGCACCACTTCTGGTTTTCTGGTGGTTTATTGGAGATAAGAGTTTCACGGACTTTCCTGCCCAGGCTGGCTTTGAACCATGATCCTCAGATTTCAGCCTTCTGAGTAGTTAAGATTACAGGCATTAGCCACTGGCTCCCGGCTTGTACCTTTTATTTCCATAAATAATTATTGACTAACTAAATTGACTAACAATTACTGAAATTTTATCAGTGCTGGGCCCTGAGAAGCACTTTATTTAATTGATCCTGTATAACAACCCCAGTGGGAGACATTCTCCATCCCAGATTACAAATGAGGAACTTGACATTAGGTATTCTGTCCAGTTTCACTCATCTCAGAAGTGCTTGAGTTGGGATTGGATTTACCAGCCTTGCTCCAGAACCCATGCTCCTCAGCATACTGTACTATGCTGAGCTGTGTTGTGATTACAAATGACTTCTTGTCTAAAAAGTATACCAAAAGAAGACATTTCCCAAAACTTCTGAACTAATGCTTACCTGAAAATATAGGGGTTTCTTTTTACTAAGATCTTACATAGCCCATTGCTGGTGGCTCACACTTGTAATCCTAGTTACTCAGGAGGATGAAATCTGAGGATTGGGGTTCAAAGTTGGCCCAGGAAAGAAGGTCTGTGAGACTCTTTTCTCCAATTAACTATCAAAAAGCTAAAAGTGAAGGTGTGGTAAAGTGCTAACCTTGAGTAAAAAAGCTGAGGGACAGCACTGAGGCCCTGAGTTCAAGCCCCAGTTAAAAAAGATCTGATATTATCATACATTAGTCATGTAAGGGGGATTTTGTTATGATATTCACAAGCATATAATGCATCCCATACATCTTACCTCCTCTATCACTCTCTCTCATCCCCCTTCCTAGAACAATTTCAACAAATTTTATTGTTCTGTTCTCATACAAAGTACATCAATCATATTTACTCCATTTACCCTCTCTATTTGCCCTCCCTGCTTCTGCTCATACTTGTTCCCCAACAGAGCGTTTTACTTTCTTGTCATTTCTGTTTGCGTATACTAGTTGTACTAAGAGATCTCACTATGGTTAGATCCAATGTAACTCAATATTATTTACCCTCCATTATTCCCTTTCCTTCTGTCCCTTTCCTCTCGTCCCTCAAACAATCCTATACTGATAAACATGCCATATGCATGTACATATGTGTACATATGTGTATACATACACATATGTATGTAAATATGTATATCTTTTAGATATAGAGTCTACAATTGAATGAAAGCATGCAATATTAGTCTTTGGGGCTTGGCTTATCTCACTCCAGTTTCTTCTATTTTTCTGCAAATGATATAATTTATCTTTCTTTAAGTTTAGTAATATTCTGTGGTATAAACGCCCTATCTTTTCTTTATCCATTCATCTGTTGCTGGATACTTCAGCTTTTTCCACAGCTTTGCAATTATGAAAAAATGCATACATGGGTATGCAGAAACCAGAAGTAGCTACATCATACATCCTAGAATTCAGAGTGAGTAGGAGAAAAATTGCACAAGCATAAAATATCAGTCAACTTCCAATAAAGTATAACAATCCTAAATGTGTACCTAAAATAGACTTTCAAAATGCATGAGAGGGGCTGGGAAGGTGGCTCAGTGGTAGAGTGCTTGCCTTGTATGCGTGAGGCCCTGGGTTCGATTCCCCAGCACCACATAAGCAAAAAGAAAAAAGCCGGAAGTGGCGCTGTGGCTCAAGTGGTAGAGCGCTAGCCTTGAGCTGAAGAGCTGAGGGACAGTGCCCAGGCCCAGAGTTCAGGCCCCACGACCAGACCCAAAAACAAACAATAAAAATAAAAAAAATGCATGAGAACAATAAAGATAAACAAACCTATAATCATAAAGAAATTCATAATGCAAAACACCTTTTATAATATCTGATTGGACAAGTAGAGAAAGAAAACCAGTAATGGTAGAAATGAGCTCTATAATATCATTGATCAAACTGACCTAATGAAAACATATAAGCAATAACAACATATACTTTATTCTCAAGTGTGCATAAACCATATGTGAAGAATGACAGAATGACAGAATAAGATATATAAAACAAGCCTCTAGAAATGAAAAAGGAAAGAAGGAAGAGAAAGAGGAAGAGAGACAGACAGACAGACAGATAGGCAATGAGGGCTTATGAAATACCAGAGATCTTCCTCCTACAGAGCCAGAATCTTTTGATAAGATGCAAACTGTATAGAGATTGTTGAGAAAGGGTACAAGATTAATTAGCTGGTAGCCAGGTGCTGGTGGCTCTCATCTGTAATACTAGCTATTCAGGATCATGAGATCTAAGGATCAAGGTTTAAAGCCTGCCCAGACAGAAAAGTTCATGAGACTCTTAACCTCCAATTAACCACCAAAAAGCTGGAAGCGGATCTGTGGCAGAGCACTAGCCTTGAACAAAAAAGCTCAGGTTCAGTCCCCAGGCCATGAGTTCAAGCCCCAATACTAGCACACAAAAAAAATTACAGTTAATTAATGTGAGTGAGGGGATAGGCCTAAAAAACTCCTGGCCTCTCTGTGGGAAGGGCTGGCCAAACTACATCACCCATGGCAGAATTGGAAGGAAAGTCTTCTCCCTCCAGACAGTGAAATATGAGCTAGAGATAGAAATGAAAATAAGGGGGGATGGGAAGGTGGCTAAGTGGTAGAGCGCTTGCCTTGCATGTCTGAGGTCCTGGGTTCAATTCCTCAACACCACATAAGCAAAAAGAAAAAATCCAGAAGTGGCGCTGTGGCTCAAGTGGTAGAGCGCTAGCCTTGAGCTGAAGAGCTTAGGGACAGCGCCCAGGCCCAGAGTTCAGGCCCCACGACCAGACCCCCCCAAAAAAAGAAATAAAAATAAGGATCCTGTTAGGGCAGGTCTACAGATACCTGGGATCCTAGCACAAAGTGAACCAGGAAAGCTTGTTAAGCAAGTGACCACCATCTTGCTGTCCTTGAAGAGTACCTCCTAGTAGTTGTATGTGAAAAGGATGAACTTCCTAGAGGCTTAGACTGGTCCATCAGGCAGTCACCCACTAAGAGAAAACTGAGTCAGCCCACTCAGTCCATATCTGCGACGCAAACCGACACTCAAAACTCACATGCTCCCATAATCTGCACAGCCTAGCTGGAGGGGGCTGGCCCCACCAAAGGGGACAAATCCTCTGTAAGTACCAAGAAGAGCTCATTTCCCAGCTATGTCCCTACACAGAAAGAAAGCAGAACCTCAGTGTAGGGGCCTGACATAAGCCCCTCTCACCCTTCCCACAGTCATCCCATGACATGATCCGTGAACAGAGGTGGTGAAGTAGGATCCTCCTTGTGGTCCACGTAAAGAGGCAAACAGACTTCCCAGATCACTGTGAGTCATGTCCCAGCCCAAAAGTGTTACTCTTGTAAGTCTTCTTGTTAAACTTCATTCACTGAGCATCAGATAGTAAGAAGGTAAAAAGGTCATGAGGGGAGAACAGCCAACGCTCTTCATCACTGAGATATCTTACCTGTAGTTGGCGAAGCTGAAGAAAGGAATTCTTCCTAAGGAATCTCAGATTGACAGCGGCCAGTTCTGTAGAGGGAATAGAGAGGCCTCTTTGCAAGGAATATCTGACTGGCCACCTGTAAGGACTCTCATCTTTCCTGACAAGGACAGTCAAACTCACCCACTTCAGAAAGGGACAATGACTCATTCCTGTAATCCTAACTACCTGGAAGGCAGACAATTAGGAGAATCACAGTTTGAGTTTAGCCTAGGCAAAACATTCACAAGACACTAACCTAGGCAAAACATTCACAGGACACTATCTTAACCAATAGCTAGGTACTATGATATGTCTGTCATCTTTGCTATATATTGGAAGGATTTGTAATTGTAGGCCAGCTTAGGTTTTTAAAAGGCCACAAGAGAAAAAACTGGGCATAGTAGTGTGCTCCTACCTACAGTAGGAAGTCTAAGTAGAAGGATCAAGGTCCAGGATAGCCAGAACAAAAAGTGAGTGATCTTTTAAAAAAAATTACAGAGCAAAAATGAGGGGGAGATGAGTAAATGATAGAGCACCTGCCTAATCATTTCTCTTATCATTCTGTTCTGAATTGTCCTGTTTTTACAATCTAGTATCTATACAGAACCTAAGGGAGTCAGAACCAGAACTGTGGCTCTGCCTATAAGTCGCCACAATGGTAGGAGAGCAGGCTCCTGAGCTACACCTAGCAGCAACCCAGCCTTCTGAAAAACAAATGGGAATTCTGAGCTTTGATGGTAAGCATCATCATCTGTAATGTCAAATATCTGGGGTCCTTCTCAATGGACAGGGGAAAGATATTCAGATATTCAGAGATATTCAGAGATCCATTGGTTAAGCGCCTCAATTCTCCCTTGAAACAACTGTAAACCAATACCTCCTTGGATGGAGCCATTAACAACTTTGTCCTCACTATCCGAGGTCAGGAGCAGCTCTACAATCCCTCTTTCCAATAGGGCCTGTTGGGAAAATTGCACAAAGTAAACCCACGTTCCTTGTTCTCTGGGGAAGGAGAAGATACGGAAGTAAGGCAACAAAGACAGTTGGGTTCCAATGGAGAGATGTGAGCTACAGAAAACAGTCATTTGAACCAGGAATGTTCCCCTAAAGGTCCATGGTCCATGTGATAAAGTCCTAGTTCTCAGCTTGACATTAACCAGTGGTGGAGAACTATTTAAGAGGCCAAGACGTGATGGAATGAAATCTCCAACACTATGAGCCAAAATCAACCTTTTCTGCTTATAAGTTGGTTGTCTAAGGTATTCTCTATTATTTTGTCTTTTTATTTTCTGTGTGTGCGCATGTGTGTGCATGTGTGTGTGTGCGTGTGCGCCAGTACTAAGGCTTGAACTCAGCATCGGCCTCTCTCTTGGCTTTTCTGCTCAAGACTCTCTAGCACTTGAGCCACACCTCCATGTACAGCTTTTTGCTGGTTAATTGGAGATTTAAAAAAAAATCTCATGATCTATTATTCCCAGGTTGACTTTGAACCGTAACTCCCAGATCTTAATGTTCAGGATAGCTAGGATTGCAACTGGTGCCTGGCTCATTTTCTGTTGTTGTTGTTGTTTTTTAATATATTTTTATTTTTTCGTCGATCATGGAGCTTGAACTCTGGGTCTGGGCAAACTCTGGGCCTGGGCACTGTCCCTGAGCTCTTCAGCTCAAAGCAAGCACTCTACCACTTGAGCCACAGTGCTACTTCTGGTTTTCTGGTGGTTAATTGGAGATAAGAGTGTCTTGGACTTTCCTGCCCAGGCTAGGTTTGAACCATAATCCTCAGATGTCAACCTCCTGAGTAGCTAGGATTACAAGCATGAGCCACTGGCAACCAGCTTCTAAGTTTTATTAGTGCATATTATTCAGCATAATGGGTTTCACAAAATTTTCACACATGCATATAGCATACTTTGATCATAGCTAAGGTGTAGCAATAGGAAACCCATCTAAGACAAAAAGGTTTAAATCTCGGGCTGGGAAGGTGGCTCAGTGGTAGAGCGCTTGCCTTGCATGAATGAGGCCTTGGGTTCGATTCCTCAGCACCACATAAGCAAAGAGAAAAAAGCCGGAAGTGGCGCTGTGGCTCAAGTGGTAGAGTGCTAGCCTTGAGCTGAAGAGCTCAGGGACAGCACCCAGGCCCAGAGTTCAGGCTCCACGACCGGACCCCCCCAAAAAAAGTTTAAATCTAGAGTCTATTACCTGGAATGCAGGACACTGGGGAAATTGCCACCACAGTGTCAGCTAGGTATGTTTCCAGAGATGGACCAAAGCCTCTAACGTCATATTATCCAGAAACAGCTGAGGGAGAATCTAAGTCACAGGCAGAGAGAGAAAGAAGACTTGGATGTCACTTTGTGTTTGAAAGGAGAGGTCAAGCCTACAAGATCCTAAGAACAAGCAGAGGTCAGCCACAAAACCTCTGTCCTACATCAGCAAGGAAACAAGGAAGCCTGCCACTATGCCCAACTGGAAAAATCACATTTGTTAAGATCCCAGGAAGCGCTGGTGGCTGGAGCCAGAGCACACCTTGGGTGCCTCATACACATGGAGCCATTCCTGGGTTTGGGAGTGGAATAAAGTGGCAAAACTTTAAATCAAGAGGAAGCAATACAAGCTGAATGACAGTGGCTGGGGTGGCCATGCCTGAGACAGTCAGTAGGGAATTGTTTCTGGCCCCTGTTGAACTTCACGAGGCACAGCCAAGGGCCAGTGTCAGTACAGCACTGGCCAGCCTGCTTTCCTCCCTCTCATTGCTGGGTTGGTAGGGCCTACCCATTCATTCCAGGCCACTTGCCCAAGACTGTGTGGGCAGAGCCAAGTCCTTAGGGCTGAGTCTGGTTGGCTTGGGTCCGAACATAGAGCTGGCTTCTTGCTTACCATCCTGAAGCCAAGGTCCAGTGGAGATTGGAGACAATATAGGAGTCAGCAAGCTCCTGGTACATTGTTTACTTTGGCTAAAGGTCCCAACTTCCAGCTGTTAAATAGGTTGCAAAGATGGCCGCAGGAGGGGTGCTTTTCTAATACCACAACTGATCTCCTAAGTGTAAGTGTATCCTGATTGGCCTGACTGTATGGAAATTCAGAGAAGGTGAACTTGACCTTATGATGTTCATAATACACAGATCCTAGCTCTGTCACATGTGCAGCGAGCATGTGAGCTGAGAGGAGAACTGAGGAAGGAAGCATGGGGATATGGAGCCAAATCAAGAGATCTTACCTCCTTGAGATATGCCATGTAGCTCTTGTCCTTATTAAAGGAGCCGTATTCATTTTCCACTTGCACAGCGATGACAGGGCCGCCCTGGTGATACTGAGAAACAAGCAGGTGAGGCTGATATGGGGGGGAGGGGTGGGAAGGCTGGAGTCTGGGTTCCATGCTGAAAATATCCAGTGGATGTGCTGCCCATCCTCCAACATCTCTTGGGGACTGACACCTTCTGACATTGTCTGGCACTAGAGCACCTCTAAGAGTCACTTTCTCCAGAGCTTGTGGATACAAGGCCAGCCTAGTTCTTGTGTCTCAGACCAAATGAGCAATGAGCTCTCAAGCTTATAAACTCACCTGCTTCCATATCTGGCTGGTCCACCTGTCTAAGGTGAGGTTTCCTATGGTGGGGCTTCCTGCTGCCCTCTACCATCTATTCAGGAATTATGGCTTAGCCACACCTGCCTCTCCCTGCCTGAGGGACTGCCCACCTTGCCTTCCAAACAGACTGACCTCTTCCATCACCATAGAAGTCCATTCAGGACATACAGAGATGAGGATTGTGGGCATCAGGGAGGGATGGCCCCTCTGGCCAGTTCTCTAGCTTTCAGCTCTTTAGGATGTTTCCAGACATGCACACTATGGTCTCTTCTCGCCCCCCCCCCACTTTTTTTTTCCTTAGGCTTGAACTCAGGGCCTGGGTGCTGTCCTTAAGCTTTTTCACTCAAGGCCAGTGTTCTACCACTTTGAGCCTCAGCGCCACTTCCAGTTTTCTCATTGGAGATAAAAGTCTTACAGGCTTTCCTGCCTGGTCTGGCTTTGAACCACAAGCAGATATCAGCCTCATCTTGAGTGGCTAGGATTACAGGCGTGAACTACCAGTGCCAGGCTCTATGTTCTCTTCTTTCTCACTTCTAGCTCCCTCCTCCACACAACTTGGTAAAGTTTCTACTACCTGGTCATGCCACCTAAATACCATCCCTGGATTACGTCGAGCACACTAAGAACTCTAAATATCCTTTGACACGCAGGAGCACACATGCTGTTTCTTGAGCCACTCCACCCTAGGACCATGTAGAAGTGTCAGGAGCAAACATCTGCTGTGCATTCCCTATGTAAAGCACCACCATGTCCCTATTGCATATGAAGTAAGCAGCAACCATAAGCCAATAGTCTCTTGTGGACACAGGATGCTGCTCCCAGGGAACAAGGGAAAGTGAGTGTGTCTAGGGGTCTCTCACAGACCACCTTTGCCTCGTTCCTTCCTGTAGGTGCCCTACACATCCAGACAGCTTGCAGATCTTTATGTGCCTCTTTCTCTCTTTGTCATCTGTTGCTGGATGACAATATCAAGGGGTCTGAAGATCATTGTCTTGGCCTGACTAATGCCAGTGACCTGGTCACTAATATTTAAATGTCACTTTCTCTGGAAAACATGTCTTAAAGCTTCTTGTCCCAGCAAGATCTTGTTTAGGCTGCCCTTGTCTGTGGAGGAATCGTTTGCCTGCTCCACAGTAGATTTGACTATGTATGTTGTGGTGACATTGCGTGACATTTTTTGTTGGGTGGGATGCTCCACATGGCAGAGGCCAGGCCTGGAAACAACTATAGAGAGCTTGTTGCTCACCAATCACTCACCAAATACACACAAATATTCTGATACATACAAAACATATTCAAGGTCATCTGCAAATATACACAGTCATATTAACTAAAGGATGGTATCTGCAGGGGAGAATTCCAATGATGTAATGCCTTTAAATAACTTACAGACTACCAGACTGGACACCAAGAATCTGGTACTTGAGATGTTGGTCATGGGGAGGTGAAGCCAAGGGGAGAGGTATAGATGAATGTAGATAAATGAAGAGAGTGAAGATGGGAAAATGTAGTTATGATGCTCAATATAAGTATGTCAGAATGGAACTAGGAAATTGGAGAAGGTGGATGGGATTGAGAGTGGGGAGGAGGGAAGAACAATAAAAGGATGATAACTGACTAAAATGAGTAATACACACAAATGAAACATAGAAAATGAGGGGCTGGGAAAGTGGTTCAGTGGTAGAGCGCTTGCCTTGCATGCCTGAGGCCCTGGGTTCAATTCCTCAGCACCACAGAAGCAAAAAGAAAAAAGCCGGAAATGGCGCTATGGCTCAAGTGGTAGCCGAAGAGCTGAGGGACAGCTCCCAGGCCCAGAGTTCAGGCCCCACGACCAGACCCAAAAAAAAAATAGACAGTGAGCCACGCACTGGTGACTTACATCTGTAATCCTAACTACTCCAGAGGCTGAAATCTGGGGGTCATGCTTCAGAGTCAGCCTGGGAAAAATAGATCATGAAACTTTTATCTCCAGTTAGACAGCAAAAAACTGGAAGTGGAGGTGTGGCTCAAGTGGTAGACAGTCTTGAGTGGAAAAGTCAAGAGAGAGCTCGATCTGAAATCCCTTTGTACAAAAACTTGAAGATAACAAAAAATAAATAATTTTTAAACGATCTAAAAAATTTATAAATTTTATGAAATAAAGAAAAGAGAACACGGGCTCGGAAGGTGGCTCAGTGGTAGAGCGCTTGCCTTGCATGCATAAGGCCCTGGGTTCGATTCCTCAGCACCATATAAGCAGAAAAAGCTGGAAGTGGTGGCTCAAGTGGTAGAGCACTAGCCTTGAGCTGAAGAGCTGAGGGACAGTGCCCAGGCCCAGAGTTCAGGCCACATGACCAGCAAAAAATAAAATAAAATAAAGAGGACAATTGTTTCATTATTGGTCTATATCTTCTCTTAACCAGAAGAATGACATGTCTAAAAACACTATTGTAGAATTTCTAATAATCCTGATCTTTATTGCTTCTCAAGCTACATCAAAAGATTTTCTCTTAAATGTTAACTCACATTTATATTTTTTTATCAAATCAATAAATATCACAGAAACAAAACAATTGGCTTCTTGCAGTTTGTATGGCATAATACATTCTTCCTTTTTTATTTCTTTTTTCTTTTTTGCCAGGGACTACTCTGTCATCTATGGCTTGACATTCTGAAAATAAAGGGAACTTCTTGCCTGGTGCATCAGATTCAGGTTCTCCACAAAGGAAAGAATAATAATGGCTTGATTTTTCCTTTGGGGGACTAAATCAAACTAGAGGGCAAGCAATTGCAACTTTACTCACAGATTATAAAATGACACATGAACCTTGTGATGCATTACAGCACAAACTTAGAAAATCCTAAAGTCCATGAATAGGGCACAAGTTAAATAAACTGATATATTCTGTTATGGATTACTATGTGGCTGTTAAAAATAGTGACAGGTTTCAAAAAGTATTTTCTCAAATGATAAAAGAAAATGTCCACTGAGGATTCTATATTTCATATTAAAATTATATACATACACACCATATGTGAATATAATTGTCTTCAATCTGTGGTGAAAATCTCTGAAAAGATACACAAAAGAGCAACAAAATTGATTGTTCCCTATAAGCACTATGTAAATGGCCTCAGTATAGTTGAGAGAAGAACAGTGTTATTTTACCATAAAATTATTTGTACCTTCAGAGTTTTTTTTTAACTGAGTGCTTGTATTGATAGATAATTTAAGAGTAGAAATTGTGTATACAGATAATTATGCTGGATAAATATTAGTTACACACCAGCAATCACCATCTTTTTGGTGTGGGTACTGTCTTGTATATTATGGGTCTTTTAAATATCTTTTTTATATGTATGTGTGTACTGGGATTTTTTTATCTCAGGGCCTCACACATTCAGCTTTTTTTTTTTTTTTGGCAGTTGTGGGGCTTAAACTCAGAGCATGGGCACTGTCCCTGAGCTCTTTTTGTTCAAGAGTAGCACTCTTGAACACACTTTGAGCCACAGCCACCACTTCTGGTTTTCTGGTGGTTAATTAGAGATAAGAATGCCATGGACTTTATTGCCTGGCCTGGCTTTGAGCTGCAGTCCTTAGATCTCAGCCTTCTGAGTAGCTAGGATTACAGGTGTGAGTCACCAGCACCTAGCACACTCAACTTTCTTGTTTCATAGCTAGTACCACTTGAACAATTTCCCCAGTATGGCATTTTGCTGGTTATTTGGAAATGAAGATTCTCAGGCTTTTCTGCCACAGCTGGCTTCAAATTGTCATCCTCCATTTCTCAGCCTCATGAATAACTAAAGATTATGGGTATAAGCCACCTGACTTGATGTAGACTTTCCTACAAGGAAAGCCACAAGACAGCTCGAGTCAAGGCTTCTAGGCTTAAATTGAGGATCTAGGGTTCAAAGTTAATAAGAAGTCAGCTTCATGTCTCCTAGAGACTGGCCATCCCTAATTGGGCCAGAACAAACTTTCTCCCAAATCAAATGGAAGAAGGAAAAGTAACTGGGTTTTTACCTGAAGAGGGACCATCCTGGGGATGAGGTGATTGAAATATGTATCAACTGCTCGGACAAAGTCCTTGTTTGTGGTTCTCAACTGCAAATTGGGGTTTTGTAGAAGCCAGCTGGGGATGAGAAGAGACACATCAGTGTGTGAGGCAGGAAGGAAGATGGTGGGTCTGACCAGCTGGGGGTCTGTCCCGCTTACCTGGGCAAGCCCCCAAGGTCAATCTCACTGCAGATGTAGGGGCCTGGTCGCAGAATCACCCACAGCCCAATCTCTGCAGCCATCAGGACAAAGGCCCTGGGGAGAACCAAGCCAACTCCTCTGAGGATGGTCCAGTGGGGAGGCTCTGTGGGAGGAGCTTGCAGCAGCCACAGTCTCCTCCCTCCCCTTCTTCTCAACCAGGGAAATCCATGGGAGAGAGGCTCAGACCCAGCACAGCACAGCAAGGCAACCTGGCACTTGCCACCAGTTGGAGCCCTGAGGCCTTGAGAACTGGGTTTGCACTGGTTCTCAGCACATGAGTCTGAACAGGAAGCGTCAGATAAGGTACAGAAGGTCTGTGCTCCCCAACATACCTGCTGCCCCCCCCACGCAGCCCCTACTCCTGCTCAGGCACCAGGTATCTAGGGCTGCAATGAAGAGCTGGTAGCTGCAGGCCCAGGTCCTTGGGTGATCACAGGTCATAGCTGGGGAGCATCCAGGGCCTGGAGGCAGAACCTCTCAGCATCTTGAGAAGTCTCTAACTCCTAGTTCTCAAGCTGCGCTGAGACAGAACTAGGACTTCTCATCAGCCCCACCACCTCCAGTCCCCTCACCCCACATCATGTCACAGAAGCAGCAAGGCCACATACTCCAGGTCCAGGTTCCCTGAGAAGTCGAATTTGCCTCTTTCTGGCTCATGGAGATTCCACGGGATGTAGCTGGAAGAGAGCAGAGAAGTACACCACCTTTCTCCCTCCAACATATTGTCATGCCCAAGCCCAAGTCAAGCCTGTGGTAGCTCCAGGTTGCAATCATGAAAGGGGTGACATGGTTCACCTGTAACTGTAACCCTTCTGTACCTCACCTTTATAATAAAAAAAATTTTAAATGTAAGTGTTATCAAGAAGCAGATAAAAGGCTAGTTCTAATCCCAGAACTCAGACACTGATGCAAAAGGATGGAGAGTCAAAGGTCAGCCTGAACTATATAGTCAGACTCTTGAGAGAAAGACAGAAACAGAGGGAGAAGGAAAGAGAGAGAGAGAGAGAGAGAGACTAAGTGTGATGGCTCAGGTCTATAATCCCAGGTTTTTGAGCAGCAGAGATCAGGAGTATAAAGGATTGAGGCCAGCCTTGAAGAAAAATAGTGAGTCTCCCATAAAAGGCTGGGCATGGTGGCATATGCCTGTGATCCCAGCTATAAGGGAGGTATAGTCAGGTAGATCACAGCATAAGTCTAGGCCTGAGCCAACACCTAAGATCCTACCTGAAAAAAAGTCTAAAGGAAAATGGGCTGGAAGAATGGTGCAAATGGTAGAGTATCTGCTTACCAAGCACAATCAAATCCCAGTGCACAAAAGGGGGAAGGCAGAAAAATGTACTCAGTATCCTAAAATGTCCTTGAAGAGGATTTTTATGAGGCTTTACAACAATAGTAAACATTGTCATGTAGTACTCATTCTCCAAACAAAGTCTGCAGCTGGGAAAATGACATAGTCAATGGCTCTGTTGTCTAGTTTCATGTGTAATCATGGTAAGTTTGTGCTCACATATTCTTTTCTTTAGTTTGGTACTGATGCTTGAACCCAGGGCCTAGGTTCTGTCTCTTACCTTTTTTTTGCTTAAGGCTGATTCTCTACCACCTGAGCCACTTTCAGCTTTACCACTTTCAGCTATGGGGTGATTAATTGAAAATAAAAGTTTTATGGACTTCCTTGGCTGGCTTCAAACTGTGATCCTCATAACTCAGCTTCTTAGATAGCTAAAATTACAGGCATGAGTCACTAGTGCCAGACAGTGCTCAAATATTTTAATTCTTCTGTTTGGCTAAAAGAAGATTCTTTTCTTTTTGTAGCCATTACTAAGGCCATATCCATGTCAAATATTAGGATAGGCATAAAATAAGATAAAGAGCTTCTCCCCTGTGATTATCAATACAACCTTGTAAGACAACCTGATTCTCTGCCCACTTACTTAGGCTTGGGGTGTGGTCAGCTGGCAGCAGAGCTGGACAGAGAACCCATGTATGTGACTCTAAATCCCCACATCCCCAGCAGTGTTCATTTCCTATGAGCGCTTAAACTTTTCTTTGTTTCCTAAGTAAACTTGATGCAAATCCTTCTTGCATGCATGTGAAAGTTGTGTTTAAAGTTGGTATATAGTCTGGCACCAGTGGCTCATGCCTGTTAGGCTCGCTACTCAGAGGGCTAAGATCTGAAAATCCTCATTCAAAACCAGCCTGAGCAGAAAAGACTATGAGACTATTATCTCCAATAAATCACCAAAAAATTGGAAGTGGAGCTGTGGATCAAGTGGTAGAGCATTAGTTTTGAACAAAACAAACTTAAGGACAGGCTCAGGCTCTGAGTTCAAGCCCCAGGACTGGCACGCACACACATACACACACACACAAAGCTGAGTATGTTTGTGATAGGCCTACTGAGGGTTTATAAATGGCCAGAAGTCATTCCAGATGAAAAGCTGCAATTATGAAGAATATTGATGATGGTATCTCAGACTGTGCCAGACCGCCTTCTCCCCTCCAGGTGACAACCACCTTGGGCAAGAAGAAAATCACCAAGAAGTCAAAAGTCAAGCCTTTGTGAAAGATTATAACTATGATTCCCTTGTATCCACAAACTAATTTGTGAACATTTCATTGGACAAAGCTGTGCCAATAAGGTATCTTCAGGGACCTAGCTCTGGACAGGAGGTCGAGGTCAAGGTCAAGTTCAGGGAGAGTTAAAGGTAGGTAAAAACAAGTAGTTCTTCCAGAGGATTTGGTTGTATTGTTTCTACTACTAAAAATAAGGGGAGGAGAAGGCTAGAGCCAGGTGCCAGTGGGTCATACCTATAACCCTAGCTACTTAGAGGTTAAGATCTAAGGATCTTGGTTCAAAGCCAACCCAGGCAGGAAAGTGCATGAGACTCTTATCTCCAATTAATCACAGAAAAAAAAAAACAGAGTGTTGTAGCTCAAGTGGTAGAGCACTAGCCTTGAGCAAAAGGAACCCAGGGAAAGCACTCAGGCCTAGAGTTCAAGTTCCAGGACTAGAAAACAAAAAACAAGGGCTAGAGGTATGGCTCAAGGGCAGAGCACATAACTAACAAATTTGAAGCCCTGAGTTCAGACCCACGTTACCAAAAGAAAAGAAGGAAATGAAAGATTCCTTTCTAGGTATTTTTTCATATTTATCTCTAAGTATGTTCATATTTATCTCTAAGTATGACTTCAACATGGTATTAACTATGCTCCTGAGGGACCTGACAGCTACCACTTGGATATAAGAATGTGTCTAAGAAATCACCTAAGCTCTTGCTATTTCTCCCATTTACCTTATCCAAGGTTTTAATCACAGAGCAAACTAAGTATGATGTCCATGTAAGAGCTGGACACTTAAGCATACAAGATACCTGTTGGCAACAACAGTTGATTAGCTAAGTCCATCCTCATAACACCTGCAAAACCAGAGCCTTCTGCTACTCTGAGATGCAGGTTGCCAGGCTGTGGGGGCTGAAAGGCCAGTACTCACGTGGTGAGGGTGTTGAAGCCACAGGCCTTCAGCTTCAGCAAGCGGTCTCTCCAGTACTCCCTGGGCACCCGAAAGTAGTGGATGGAGCCCCCAAAGATCAGGAACTTGTGACCTTCCAGGGTGAAATGTGCTGCTTTCCCACCTGTGTTTGCGATGCCAAGACCCACAGATCTGTTCTTCAGCTTGAGAGGAGTCAGGTGAGACCAGTTGTACCTGGAGGGGGGAGGGAAGAAGAGAGGAGACACTCCAGAGATGGTTGCTTTCTATTAGCATGGCATATATGCCCTGTGCAGCTGGCATGGTATTTTTTCCAGGAAAACTCCCCTTCCCCATTCACACAAACCTGGACTGAGGCCGACCTGTTTTAGACAACATATACTCTCCATATTGAATATGAGGAATAAGGCCTGATAAGGCAAGTGGCAGGAAAAACACAGCCATGATTCTCTTCCAGGAGAGACACCGGCTACAAAGAGAAAGGGACAATGACAAGGAAAATGCATCAGTCTCCTGGAGCTGTAAGGACCAGAAAGCTGCTCTTCCAACATTCTAGTAGCGCTCTTCTATGACCCAGCAATACCACTTCTGGGCATTTGTCCAAATGACCACAGGCAAGGCCATACTAAAGTTACCAGCACAACTATGTTTATCTCACCATTATTCCCCATAGCTAAGATATAGAACCAACACAGATGCCCATCAGTAGATGAATGGATCAAGAAAATGTGGTATCTATATACAATAGAATTTTATGCTTCCATCAGAAAGAATGACACTGCCCCATTTGTAAGGAAATGGAAAGACTTAGAAAAAATCATATTAAGTGAAGTAAGCCATACCCAAAGAAACATAGATCCCATAGTTCCCCTTATTTGCAATAATTAGTATATGTCTAGGATAATTTTAGCAGATGAGTAGAGTAGTTCAATAGCTACATACATATGACCATATAAGATGATGCTAAGTGAAATGAACTCCAAGACATGGACACAAGAGGTGTTTCTTTGTTGTTGCTGTTCAGTTTTTTTTTTTTGGCCGGGGGAAGGGGGGGGGTCCTGGTCTGAACTCTGGGCCTGGGCGCTGTCCCTCAGCTCTTCAGCTCAAGGCTAGTGCTCTACCACTTGAGCCACAGCGCCACTTCTGGCTTTTTTTTTTGCTTATGTGGTACTAAGGAATCGAACCCAGGGCCTCAGGTGTGCAAGGCAAGCGCTCTACCATTGAGCCACCTTCCCAGCCCCCGTTGTTGCTGTTTTTAATGTACTATGTGATTTTTTTTGTTTCTTTTGTATGTTCTTCCCCCTATGGTATAGCCTCTGTGGTTACTGTATTTGATTTTGGTACACTGGTATCCTATATATGCTTATCTGAATTAGGGAAGAGAAGGGGAACAACAGAATGGTGAGACAAAGGACAAGGGGGACCAATGCAACAACGACATACACAAAACAGTATGTTAGAAATGATCTGTACAAGAAGGGAACCTTACTTCATTGTTGGTGGGAATGTAAATTTGTTCAACCACTTTGGAAAGTAGTATGGAGGTTCCTCAAAAGACTCCACATAGAGCTCCCCTATGACCCAGCAATCCCACTTTTGGGCATTTACCCAAATGTTTACAAACAAGACCACACTAAAGCTACCATCACGACTATGTTTATTGCAGCCTTACTTACTATAGCTAAGATATGGAACCAACCCAGATGCCCCTCAGTAGATGAACGGATCAAGAAAATGTGGTATAGATACACAATGGAATTCTATGCCTCCATCAGAAAGAATGCCATTGCCCCATTTGTTAGGAAATGGAAAGGCTTGGAAAAATTATATTAAGTGAAGTAAGCCAGACCCAAAGAAACATAGGTCCCATGGTTTCCCTTATTTGCAATATCTAGTATACATCTGAGTGAAGCAGAAAAGGTCAGATAAGGTGATGTTAGGGAAATGAACCCTAAGATATGTATTCAAATGTTTTTTTTTCTTTCATGCAATTGTTTCTAACACATTTATAAGATTATTTCTTTGTTGCTTTGTATGTCTCTCCCCGACAGTATAATCCCTTTCACTGTATTTGATGTCGGTATAATTTGTGGAGGGGAAGGGGAAAAACAAATCGTTTAAATAGGGATACAGGTGGACCCATTGCAACAATGAGATGTACAAGTCATGATGTCGAAAACAAACTTCACAACTTTGGGGGGGCAGGAGGATTGGGGGGGCGAGGGGAGGATGGGAAGGAATGGGAAGGGGAAACAAAGGAGGAGGCTACAATGCTTGATAAGAAATGTACTCATTATCTTGCCCATGTAATTGTAACCCCTCTGTACAGTATTTTCACAATTTAAAAAAAATGATCTGTACAACTTGGAGGGGGAGGGAAAGTAGGAGAAAATTGAGAGAAGGTGTAATAAGGTTGACAAGAAATGTACTCATTACCTTACTTATGTAACTGAAACCACTCTGTATGTCACTTTGACAATATTTTAAAAAATCCAAGAAAAAGAAAAGAACATTCTAAAGCCACTGTAGATGCTCATCAGAGGCAGGTTTTCTCTACAAATAAAAGGGGCTACAGCTGGCTGCTGGTGGCTCACGCCTGTAAATCCTAGCTACTCAGGAGGCTGAGATCTGAGGATTGTGGTTCAAAGCCAGCCCAGGCTCTCCAATTAATTAACCACCAGAAAACCAGAAGTGGTACTGAGGCTCAAGTGGTAGAGTGCTGGCCTTGAGCTGAAAAGCTGAGGGACAGTGCCCAGGCCTAGAGTTCAAGCCCCACAACCGACAAAAAAGGAGGGGGCGCTACACCTGGCTCCACCCAGGTCCCCTGAACACCACCTCTGTCCCATATCCTCCCCTGTGAGAACCTGAAGCTGGGGACAGACAGAAGCAGAGACTGGGCACTGGGGAAGAAGTCCAGAAAAAGGAGGGGAGGAGAGAGGCGCTCCTCCACAGGGTCCTTGATCACATCCACAATCTCCATTTTCTTGCCCAGGGATCAAGATGCAAAACCTAAGCAGGGCCACATCTGCAGGAATAAAGGCTGGAAGGGAAGCTGGGGAGCACTGGAAAGGCAGGTTTGAGAAGCAGGAAGGTGCTCCAGTACACACACCCGGCACACACAAAGGTATGCGGAGCCACAGAACATGAGGGGAGAGCTAGGAGTCTCTTGGATGAGCGCCCACATCTGTGATGATTGGGGGGAGAGATGGGGGAAGAGTCCGGCGGGCAGAAGAAGGCTTGAGAAATGGCAGCCTGCAAGGGCAGTCTGCGCTGTGGCCCAGGGCAGGCCCAGAAGCAGGCAGAATGAATCACCTGAGACAGGACAGGGAGCCCATCCAGTGAACCGTGGTGCTGCGCTGGTCCTGCTCTCGCTGGGGCCTCAGACTCTGTGCTCTGGCCAGGACTCCGGACGAATGAAACCTGAGTGCTGTCTGCCTTCGATTCTACAGCCTAGGTGGAAATCTGCAAGGAAATGCCACCCCCAGCAAGCAGCCGCCACAGCCTGTCCTGGGCCTTGCCAACCTTGCAGGGCTGTGGCCAGGGGAGGCTGCTGGCTCTGCAGTCCCCGTCCAGCAGCAGGTCCCCGCACAGAGCCCTCAGGCCTTGGAGGTAAGGCCTGGCAGAATCGCCTCCCAGACCATGGCACACAAGTCAGAGTGTGGGAGGAAGGGAGGGGAGGGGAACTCCACCACCCTGCGAGAACTCTATGTTCTGCTGGCTCAGCAACATCGCCAGGGCAAGTAACTAGGCTCAGGACACAGCTCCACGCTAACAAGGAGGGGGCTGGGCATACAAATGCAGAGCTTTAACAGGATGGAAAAGGGATCAAGACTGTTGGAGAAAGCACAGCCAGGCTGTTCCACTCCGCTTTTCCAGGAACTGTACACTAATTACACTCCCACAGACATTGAAAGGGTGTCCTTCACCTGTATCTGGCCATTCGCTTTCCTCTTTCTCATGCTATCCATTCAAACTCGGAGTGCAGTGGTATCTCACTGTGGTTGTAATTTCATTTCCCTGATGAAAACTGTTCAGTATTTGCCAGTAAAACTTGCTGGACATTTGTGTAGCTTTTCTTTTGTGAAAGAAATATCTGTTTAGGTCTATTGCCCATTTTAAAATTAGACCTTTTACTTTTATTTTAGTGAGTGAGTTTTGAATTCCTTTAGTATACTGGGTTTTATACTGATTATCAGATACATAGTTTGCAAATATTTTCTCCCATTCATTGGACGCTTGTCTCTTTAGGTGATTGTTTCTTTTGCTAGGCAGAATCATTTTAATTTGATGTAATCACATTTGTGTAATTTTGCTTTTATTTCCTAAGTTTCGAAGAGAAATATACTATTTTTAATGGCAGTTCTTTTCTTTCAGCCCTTAAAATCACTTGTGCCATTTGTTTCTGGCTCTGTGGGACAGAGCTATGGCACATGTCTCTTGAGGTGTCCTAGCTAATCCTAAAGGGAAGCTAGGGTTTCCCTGATGACAGGACTCCCAAGCAGGGCTCCCTTAAAGAAAACCTAGCCAAGCAGGGTTCTCCTAAAGTAACCTAGCCAAGAGGTGTTCCCCTACAGGTAATCGCCATTTCTCTCTGGCTACTTCCATTTAGAAACGTGTGTGTGTGTGTGTGTGTGTGTGCGCGCCACACTAATGGATAGGCTGATTCAACATTGTAAAAAGTTTAATTAACATATACTTTAATGTAATTCCAATAAAATTTCCCAAGAATCTATGGCACTTGTCCAAGTTACTTTAATCAAATTCTTGTGATCCAGTAAGAAAACATTCACAGTGATGAGGGAGGCACACAGCTTAAGGTCCCTGGTTTCCAGGGCAACAATGCTGTGGCTACTGGCCAGCCCATAGATACTCCAACAAGATCCTCCCCTTATAGGCGCTATCCCAAGATTCACAAGATGATCTCCCCCTAAAGTGTCATAAAAATGCTGATAAAGTTCCTTAAGCTAGACTGGCTGGTTCCAGGTCCTGATAATTAAGCAGTTTAGGATGAGGAGGGTAGCTAAAAGCTTCAAAACTTGGGACAAATGCCTAGGAAATGAAGAACTAAGGTCCCAGGAACAGGGCTATGACACAGAAATAGTGCCAGCAAGTTCAGACAGATTCATCTCCTCCTTCTCCAGGATACCTGGAGCCTCAAAAGATCCTGGTCTGATGGCAGAAACCCATCCCTTTGTATTTCTATGAATAGGTAATGGGCAATCAAGAAAAGTTTAAGATGGGTACATTTGCTTAGTGACTCAGGAGACTAAGATCTGAAGATCATGGGTCCAGCTTCCAGGCTGGACAGGAAAGTCTATGAGATTTTTATGTCCAAGAAACCACCCAAAAGCCAAAGGATGTGTAGTTCAAGTGGTAGACCTCCAATCTTGAGTGAAAAAGCTAAGGGACAGTGCCCAGGTCCTGAATTCAAGCCCCAGTACCAACAAAGGAAGGAAGGAAGGAAAGAGAGGAGGGAAAGGAAGGAAGGTATAGAACTATAACACAGTGGTAGAATGCTTGCCTGGCACATGAAATTCCTTGTGTTCAGTTCCCAGTTAATTGGGGAAAGGAAGTTGAATTTAACAATACTCTAAAGTGCAGGCTAATAAGGTAACTGAGTCTCTTTTTAAACAAGCCATTTCAAGGTAGGAATGCTTCCTATAAACACTGGTCTTTAAGAAAGAATTCTTGCTGGGCGCCGGTGGCTCACCCCTGTAATCCTAGCTACTCAGGAGGCTGAGATCTGAGGATTGTGGTTCAAAACCAGCCTGGGCAGGAAAGTCTGTGAGGCTCATCTCCAATTAACCATGAGAAAACTGGAAGTGGCGCTGTGGCTCAAGTGGTAGAGTGCTAGCCTTGAGCTGAAAAGCTGAGGGACAGCACCCAGGTCCAGAGTTCAAGCCCCAGGACCAACAACAACAACAACAAAAAGAATTCTTCACCAAAGCATTCACTGTGAACCAGGCACTGAGATAAAGCTAGGGCAGATGGTGAGCAAGAACAGTAAGTACAAATAGATGCCTTCTCTCTTGTAAGAGCAAGATAAGTACTGGAGAATGATACAGGAAAGGAACAATCTAGAGAGAAGTAGGGCAGGCTTGAGATCCAACAGAGTACATGCTTGATGTGCTGGAAGCTTGGATGAAGCCCATGAATCTGGAGAGGAGGAGAGCAAAGAAAGGGGCCCTGCTGAGGTTGGAAGACTGATAAAATCCACAAGAGTCAAGGCATTGGGGCCCAGGGGAAAGAATAGGAATTATGTCCAAAATACACAACAGAAAGTCATTGCAGGGGGAGGATGTTTGTTTTTTGTATATGTATGAACCCATACCAGGGCTTGAACTCAGGGCCTCGTGCTCTTTTTCTCAGCTTGCTTGACCTTGGCTGGCCCTCTACCACTTGAACCACTGTTCCAGTCTGGCATCTTGTTGGTTAGTTGGAGATGGAGTCATGAGCCACCATCATCTTGACTGCCATTGCACTTTTTAGAGACAGAGTGCAGTGCTGAGGATCCAAGCATGTACCAAGTGGGCACAGAACTCTGTTTCTGCTTGTAAGAAGAATGGAGAAAACTGACATCACAAAAGCCATAGGAGATGGGCGCCGGTGGCTCATGCCTGTAATCCTAGCTACTCAGGAGGCTGAGATCTGAGGATCAAGGTTCAAAGCCAGCCTGGGCAGGAAAAAGTCCATGAGACTCTTATCTCCAATAACCCACTAGAAAACCGGAAGTGGCACTGTGGCTCAAGCGGTAGAGCACTCGCCTTGAGCTGAAGAGTGCAGGGACAGTGCCCAAGCCCAGAGTTCAAGCCCTACAACTGAAAAAAAAAAAAGCCATAGGAAAACTCAGAGAAGTGAGAACACAGTGTAATGACAGGAGACTCTCAGGATACCAAATAGACACTCAGATATTCTGCGAACATGTCACTACTCACCTGGATGTTGAAGCCACAGCCTTCTATTTCACCAAGCTAACTCTTCAGTACTGCCTGGCCATTTGGAAATAGTCCATAGCACCAGCTGGTATCAGAAACACAGAGCTTAAGCTTAAATTTAAGCCCTTGACTTTCTGACTCAACCTGCAGTGCTTCAGGTAGGAGGGAGCCTGCTCAGGACAACGAGGTACATGAAACCTGAGCTCATCAGAAAGATCTTTCCTCCGAGCACTTGAGGGGCAAAAGCAGGAGGATATAGAGTTCAAAGCTACCCTGGATGGGCTACAGAAAAGACTATGTCTTAAAAAAACAAACAAAATTTCTTTTGGGGGCCCTCAGCATACCTCTAGTGGAAAGCGAACCCTCCCCCAGCCTTTCCTTCTCAAGCTTATCTGGGTGGCCAGTCATGGCTGCGCTCTCACATGAAGGCAGCTGAAAGGCATGGGGGACACATTCAGGTCTCATCAGGAGAGCTCACATGCTAAAGAAGGATGACAAAATTGCCAGGAGAGAGGCATCAACAGGGTAAGAAGGTACCAGGGAGCTAAAAGAAGCCCATAGCTGGAGGAGAGAACCCCCATGGAGAAGGTAGGAATTGCTCCTGAGCATCCATGCCACCTGGAAACATGATAGCAGCCCCAAGGCTATGTGTACTGAGAATAGTTTTGTCTTTATAGCTTTTTTTTTTCCAGGGCTGAGGACCGAACCCAGGGCCTTGCACTCGCCAGGTGGGCGCCCTTCCACTGAGCTAAACCCTCAGCCCCCTGAGAATAGTTTTGTAACAGAGTTACCAGCTACATAGCTGGATGTTCAGACACCAGACTCATTTTAGAGAGTATCAGACCCATCCTAGAACATAGCTATTGCACAAAAGACTCATCCCTGGAAAGCCTGTCACACACATTCACCTACTCAGGAATGAAGTACAATGATGTGCTGCTTAAAGTACCAGACTAGGATGTAGAAGAAATCCCTGCATAAACGGCTCCCAGCGCTCTTCTCCCACCCAGTGGTCTACCTCTGTGCTACTGTAGCCCAAGCACATCTTATCATTTGTGTGGTCATTATTTTTTATGCTGTTCACTCTAGGGCAAATGTTCTTTCCTTCACTTGCCAAAATTTGTAAGGACTAGAGGGATGGCTCAAGTGGTAGAGTAACTACCTATCAAATATGAAGCCCTGAGTTTAACTCAGTTACTCCAAAGAAAAGAAGGGTAAAAGAAAAGAAGGAAGGAAAGAAGCATGGAAAGTAGGAAGGAAAAAAGGAAGGAAGAAAGGAAGGAGAGGAGGGAGGGAGGGAGGGAAAGGAGGAGGGAGGGAGGGAGGGAGGGGAGGGAGGCAGGCAGGCAGGCAGGCAGGAAAGGACTGATTTCAAGGCTGGAGGACCCCGAACCTTGATTTCAAACTCTACTACCAGAAATTTATATAAGTCCAGGTGTCCTGAACTTAGTAGTCCAGCAAAATTAAAGAGTTGTTCATGTGCAAGATGAGAATGGCACTCTGCACAATTGACCTGGCCACCCAGAACAGTACTCAATCATACAGAACAAACCTTAAAATAATATCCTACTTTTGTGTTGGGGGGCTAGCCTAGAGCTAGAACTCAGGGCCTAAAGCCTCCACCTTAGCTTTTTTTTTTTTTAACCACAGCTCTATTTCCAGCTTCTTTGTAATAAATTGGAGATATGAGTCTCATAGATTTGTCAGTCTGGACTCAGCCTCCTGAATTGCTAGGATTGGAGCATCAGCCACCGGTCCTACCTTTAAAAGACTTCTCGACAAATATGCTGCAGTCCCTACCACTTTGGAACAGATAAAAGGGAAGGCTGGAGCCTGTGAATCTAGAGTGTCAGTATACAAATGCAGCAGGGACTCAGGCTCTACAAAACAGGACTTCTCAGAAAGATGAGGATGGCCAGGGAGAGGGGAAGCCAGTTAAGACACACACAGGCTTGACATGCATTTGTAAAGTTGGTTCTGCACCTTTGCTTAGGAAAACAAAGGGGAACAACAACAGCTTGCATCTTAAATGGAATCTGTGTTAAACATTAAACAAAAGGAGAAATGAGAGGTTTTCTAGTTACAGTAGTATAAAGAGATGAGCAATTGGATTAAAACTAGACAAAATTGTCAAAAAAAACCCCTGTGTATGAAATTTGTTTTGTTTTGTTTGTCAGTCATGGGGCTTGAACTCTGGGCCTGGGTGCTATCCCTCAGCTCTTCAGCTCAAGGCGAGCGCTCTACCACTTGAGCTACAGCGCCACTTCCAGTTTTCTGGTGGTTTATTGGAGATAGGAGTCTCATGGTCTCGCCTGCCCGGGCTTGCCTCCTGAGTAGCTAGGATTACAGAGCCACCAGCGCCCAGCTTGTGTATGAAATTTGAAATTGGCCAACTGCAAACAAGAAGCTGAAAAGAATTTCTTTGTGATAAGATCCCACCTTCAGGTCCAGACAATGGAGATGGTGCCTGGGGCTGCCACCAACACTCTTCTAGATCAATCAGTGACTGGCTGTGAAAATGTTGCTGCATGAGACTCAGTCAGATAGGAGCTGAGTGTGGAAATTCCTCGGCTCTGGTGGTAAACGTGGTGGACACTTGGGGACAAGCAGAAACCGTCCATGATTTTGCTGGCCTAACCACTGTGTCCAGTTCCAGATAAACCATGAATTCAAGCAAGGAGAGCCTAAAAATAAGAAAATCCTGGAAAGGGTAAGATAACCTCTCCACTCCTTAGTACCATCAGAGACAGAGATAGACAGAGAGGAAGAGAGACAACCACACACAAATGTATTGCAGTCAAACTACCAAGAAAAACAAAAGCAAAACATAGTTAACAAGAAAATCCTAAAAGTGGGGCTGGGGGTTTAGCCCAGCGGAAGGGCGCCCGCCTGGCGCGTGCAAGGCCCTGGGTTCGGTTCTCAGCCCTGGGGAAAAAACAAAAAGAAAATCCTAAAAGCAAATACAGGGGAATGGTAATATGATTAATGACTTCTTGCCACATACATTGTATGCCATAAGCTGGTGCAATAACACCAAATGTCACCCAAGAATCTTTTACTGAATGCAGCAATAATCAGGCATTACTTAATGACAAGGAGACAATCTAGAAAATATATCATTGGGCCATTTCATTGTTGGACAGAGATCATAAAGTACACTGAGCGCCTTATGTCATTAGCCAATATAATTTTACAGTACCAACCTTGTGTGTGCCATCTACTGTTGATTAAAATATGGCTGTACAATGTGTGACTGTTCTGAAAAAGTGACTAGTCTAGATATGTAAAGTTGAAAGAATTCCATAAGTTACACAACTTCCTAAAAGTGAAACGTGGAGGTGGGCAAGATAAGGCAGTACTACCATCCGGTGATCATCTGTTCAGGAAGGATCAGCTTCCACAGTGTCCATGATCCAGAGTTCCATGCAAGTGTCTGAAGATCTGAGAGAGTAGTCCCAGCACATCACCGACCAAAATGATCCAACAGTAGATGCGCTGACAAGTGCTCCCCAAAGGTCCTCTTAGCAGTGCTATTTGGAAGTGGTGGATCCTATAGGATCCTTGGAAAGAGGGACCTGTGAGATTATGCAACCCTGCCTTTTTCCTCTTTACTTCCTGGCTTATGAGGTAAGCAGTTCTGATTTGCCATGTGCTTCAGGCAGCCCTACCTGGCACCCTTGGCACAGGATTATTCCAAAGAACCTACTTTAATCATAAGTGTGAACCTTCAAACCATGAAATGAATACTGGAACCACACATCCACACCCTGATTTGTGTTGGTTATTTTATAGATGGTATCTCTTGGGCTGGGAAGATGGCTCAGTGGTAGAGCACTTGCCTTGCATGACTGAGGCCCTGGGTTCGATTCCTCAGCACCACATTAGCAAAAAGAAAAAAGCCAGAGTGGCGCTGTGGCTCAAGTGGTAGAACGCTAGCCTTGAGCTGAAGAGCTGAGGGACAGCACCCAGGCCCAGAGTTTAGGTCCCACGACTGGACCCCCCCAAAAAAAAGATGGTATCTCTTTGCTACCCAAGCTGGCCTGGAGCTATTGTCCTCCAAATCTCACACTTCTGAGTATAAGTAAATTGCTTTCCATTTTTTAGCTCTTAATGACATGGAAGGAGAAAAATCTCATCTTCATATTAACAATCCCAATTCGACTTGACAGGTGCTTTAGTTTCTGGAATGAGGCTCTACCTTGGTTCTGTCACACCAACATTCTTGAGCCACCAAGGTTATAAGTGCAGAATGACGAGAGGGTTGAAGATGAAGGTTTCAGCATGGACAGGAGGAAGTGGAGCACCACATACTGGGGGCTATATGGCAAAGAACGATTCATAATTATCTAAATGCCTCCCATTCCTGTTCAGTGCAGACAGGACCTGCTTACTCACACTTGGGCTGTACTGGGACCCATGGTCCTGTGCCTGTCTATGGAGCTGAGGAAAACTAGCTCAGACTAAAGTTCCACATTACAGAGGTATGGGTGAAGGTTCATTTCTAGCACAGGATCCACCCCTACCCTCTAAGGCTGACAGGGTTTGGGTCTTAAGGACCAGGCTCCTCTCACAGCTCCATATGGCCAAGCCACATATGTCAGAAAGCAGCTTGTGGGAGCAGGAGGTATGCACCTGGGAGAGGCAGGCAGTGCCCTGTCACAGGGCATCCAACCCATCACGGGTTACAGCTACACCACACATTCACGTTACAAGAACTCTATGTAGGGCTGGGAAGATGGCTCATTGGTAGAGCACTTGTCTTGCATGCCTGGGGCCCTGGGTTCGATTCCTCAGCACCACATAAGAAAAAAAAAAGCCAGAAGTGGCACTGTGGCTCAAGTGGTAGAGCACTAGCCCTGAGCTGAAGAGCTGAGGGACAGTGCCCAGGCCCAGAGTTCAGGCCCCACGACCGGACCAAAAAAAAAAAAAAAAGGAACTCTATGTATGTCCACGTCCAGAAGGCACTCAGCCCCTGAGACAGTGCCAGGGCAGCCCTGAGCCTCTCCTTCAGACAGATAAAATTAACCAAACAGCTAACTCCTAGTTATCAGCATTTATAATTTAACCACTTCAGCAAACCAAACAAGGGGGGCAAAACAACACAATTTAAATACAAAAACAAAATTTATTTTGCGAAAATATTTTAAGTGGTTTAAAAACTGTACATATAAATCTTCTACATCTACCAAAGAGGTCAGTACGGCAGCGAGGCTCGGGGCTGGGGTGGTTTTAGAACATAAGAGCAAGGGGACGGCGGGGGCAGGTCCTGCTGGGGACAAGTAACTAAAGTCTGAGTTCTCCAGCCTCCTGATATGCACTAGGGATCCCCTGTAATGGAGATGGGTTTGTGGGAGAGCATCCATGCAGGAAGGTCTTTGTGCCAGTCCAGGGCTCCAGCCCTGTGGCCCTAGCAGTATAAACAGCAACAGTTCAGTACTCAGTGGCATCAGGTTCCTACAGGATGAGGCTGAGAGACAGATGTGACCCATGGGGTGGTGGATGAAGGGTAGGTGTGGAAGAAGGCACTAGAAGGAGTGGTCAGCATCCTGTGCATTCTGGGAGCTTCTTTACTGGAGCTGAGGGCTCTTGGCCTGGACAGGAGGAAGTGGAGCAGCGCCCACGGGGTCTGGGAGGCAAAGCAAGATTCACAGTCATTTAACAAAGAACAAGTCCCACAGGTGACCCATGAGGATAATGGAATGAAAACAGGACAAGAGAATCCCTGAGGAGATATCTAG